GCAGGCATTATAGCCAGTAATTAAACAACTCTAACGCAACAAGCGTCCTTAACTACTATCCTATAGGCAGCATTATTCCTTGCAGGAACCTAAGCTAGACGTGTTAGAACATACAGAGGAGAAGTTATAGACAAGGCTAAGATAATAAGAACACTTACTAAAGGCTTAAAGCCCTATTAAAGTTAACTTCTACCTCTACCTACATTCTAAACTAAGCTTAAGGATCACCCTATAGGTAAACTCTTTTAAGAAGCTAAGCAAGAGCACCTTACAAGCTACTAAGAAATAAAATTATAGTTAGAAGTACTACTTTAGAAAATTAGACTAATAGGACAATAGATCCTTAACTGTATATAGGTATATACCTATAAGCTTAATAGATATTATTAACTACTAAAGTGTAAGGCGCAACTAGTAGTTAGAGGCAATTAACAACGCAATATTACATTACAAGACACCTACGCAGCCACACTTGCCAGCTAATCCTTTCAAACGATAATGGCTATAGCAGCTCACTATAACATGGAGCTTAAACAATACGACGTTACCAACGCGTTTGTTCATGCTACAATGGACAGAGAGGTCTACATAAGGATGCCACAAGGCTATTAGAAGCCTAGCACAATACTGCAAGTAAACAAGGCACTTTACAGCCTGCACATCTCTCCCCTCCTCTAGCAGAAGAACTTCACTACAACACTAAAAGCACTAGGTTTCTAGACTATGCCTTACAAACCCTACTGTCTAACTAAGGGCAGTATTATTATCTTCTTTTATATTAATAATATTATCCTTACGTACAATAAATTAAAAGAGTAAGAGGTAATACAGATAATTAGCTACGTACAGAGTAAGTACACCTGCATAGGGGGGCATAACCTATAGTAGTTCCTTAGCATAGAGATTATACAAGACTAAGTAAGCAAGAAAATCTACCTATCTTAGGCAGCGTACTTAGACAAAATTAGTTGCCTTGCTAAGAACACAACTATACAACATAACACTCTAATAGCAACAACTAAACTACAGCTAAGGAGTAGACTAGCAGCGCCAGCAGAAATTAACAAGTATTAACGCAAAATTGGATCACTGCTGTTCGCTGCAGTCACCACACAACCTGACATTGCGTTTGCCATATTAAGGCTTGCTAGGTTCCTCACCAATCCAGGCATCAGCCACCAAGATGCTGCAGACCAGGTCCTTCTATATCTACTTAACACTAAACAGCGATCACTGCAGCTTAGAGGAGGCATCAGCCTCTAGGTAACAAGTAACGCGTCCTTTGCTAACAACACTATAGACAGAAAGAGCTCCTAAGGCTACACAATTAAACTCTTTAGCAGCCTTATTGCATAGAAAGTAAATAAGTAGGACACAGTAATAACATTAACAACTAAGGCTAAGCTTCTTACTCTTACCTAGGTTACAAAAGAAGCACTTTTTATCTTAAGGCTCTTGCGCGAACTACACGTTAATATAGGCGCACACACTATTATAATATAATGCAACAACAAACAAATAATTTAACTAGTTACTAAGGAAGTGTTGCAACTATATACTAAACTTTAGCATGTAGATATCCACAACTACTAGCTCTAACAGGAGGTAGCTGCTAGAAAGATTATTATAGAACACGTCTAGTCTGCGAGCATAATAGCAGACAGACTTACAAAGGTACTCCTAGTAAACAAGTAGGAAGGTTTCCTCTAGCAACTTAGTCTAGTGAACAGGGAGTTAACAGAAGTGCTAAACAGTGTGCCTCTAGACAGGATTTAAGAATAAATTAAGGACCTTACACACGCATAAATAGTTAGCTTAAAGAGTTTCTAAGCTAAAGGGGGTGTGTTAGATAAGAGCAAGCGGCAAGAGGTTAGATCTGCGCAATTGAGCAGGGACCTGTCGTGCAGCCAATTAGCAGTTGCCAGGTCGATTAAGCGAGACCTGGCAACTCCTGATTGGCCCGCACACCGGCGGCCGCGAACAGCGCTAATTTCCCCCCACTTCAATCCTGTAGCAACCAGCACGACGCCACAGCAGAAACACTATCGCCACAATTATCAATATATCATCATACCACCTAAGATCTCGTTAAGCACATACTCTGGCTCACAGTACGAGAATCTGACAACTATACTTAGCTTTAGTATTCTCTACTAGGCAGAGTTAGCCCTAGATTACCTTAGGGTCCTTGCAGAGGGCTCTCTTGTAGTTGTACTTTTAATTAAACTTAACTATAAGCTCTAGGCAACACTTAATAAACGTGCTAGCCTAGTTCTTGCTAACAGGAGGCTAGTGGCGCTTAGTAAGTAGAGAGTTAGCTATATCCTCTATATTAGTAAGCTAGGGTGGGTATCCTTGCTTATCTAGCTTTGGAAAATAATGCACAATTACCTCCTCTTTAGTGCTTGTTAGCTTTATTAAGTTGACCTTACAATTGCGTCTTAAGAGCATTCTAGCATGTTATTGTCTTAGCATTCTTTCTAACACCTTGTTAATTGTTATAGTGTATAGAATAGTAAGAGTCACGTCTTATTTAAGAGCCTAAATAGCAAGCTGTATATCTAGTTCCTTTAAGGCACTTTAAGCCTTTTTGCGTTAGGACATCGCAGGTTGTATGAAGTTTAGTGTGGTCTTGGCAAAATCCGGTCACTCGCCCGGGCCGGCCACTCGCCCGTGAGGTACGTTAAGATAAAAATACCTATAACTTTAACAAGTAAAGCTTTATAATAGGCGTTATATTAACAGGAGCTGTTGTTACAGGCTCTAAGTGTTAAGGGAGACTAAAGGCAGTGCAGCAGGGCGACTAAGAGTAGACTAGTATTATCTAAGGCATCTGCGCAAAGGGCTAGTCTATCCTACCCTTTATTATCTTCTCTAGCAAGCACTACCTCTCTGCCTAGTATAAGGAGCCTAGTATACCTAACAACTAGGTTCTTAATGTCTCTAATAATAGCTAGACTAATAACAAGCTTAGAGTTAAGTAGTTAAAGCACTTTAATAAGCACATAAAGGCGCGCACTGTTAGCAGCTATTAGCTGCTTATTCTAGACAGCTATAACAGCCATAACTTAGTTAAATCCTACTAGTACTGTTAGGAACACAAGATTATTACCCTATATATGCCTCTGCACTTATTACACCTACTGCAGCTACTTAACGTGGGCTGTTTTTCTCTGTTAAAGAAGGCCTATAGCCACCAAGCCAAGTGGCTGATGCGCAGCAAGATCACGCGTATTACTAAACTTGAGATCTTGCTCTGCTTTAAAGCAGCTTTTAACGCCTTAATTATAGAGAGTAATATCTAGGGAGGATTTAGAGGTGCTAGCCTAGTCCTGCTTAACCTAGAAGCTGTAATATTAAATCTTAAAGTACAGCTGTGTACATTAACGCCACCTACTATAGACAACAGCACGTAGGAGTCTAAAATACTAAGCAATACCCTAGAATTTAGGTCTTAATTAAAGCTAATTTAAGAGAGGATTTTATAACACACTAATAGCTTGCTAATGTCTATAGTTAATATTCTTAATTAGCTTACTAAAGATATAGAGCTAATAGTGTATTAACTAGTTTTAGTGCGTAACTAGGTTGCTAACCTATATGCTACTAATAAGGCTACTACACGTTGTAAATTACATAAAAGGAAGTAATTACAGCAAGAGGGGACTCTAGTCTTTGCTAAGGGAGTGTGGCTAACTACTCTAAAGGAGTTTAAGGCCTGTAGTAATAGGAAGAAGGCAAAGAAGAGGTTGTGTGTTAATAGGAGCACTTAGTCTCTAAGGCGCTGTGGCACATATAACAAGATAGGGCACAACACGCAAACATGCAGTGAAGATACACAGAGTACTATAGACTAGCTTAGTATACTGTATAGTATAATATATTATAGTTGTATGCTGTAATGTTGCAAAGTAGGTGCAATATTGGTGTGGTGTTGGCAAAAGTGGCCAGCTCGCTTGGGTGGCCAGCTCGCTTGTATCTTACCAGGCATAACGTATTCCACAGGCGAGCGCCGCACCCCACCAAACTTGCGCACCTCTCTCATCTCAACGTACAATGGCTCAACGCAGCGCTACTCTATTAGCTTCAAATGAAGCAGACGTTCAGCTTGCTATCTCCTCTATCAGTTCCCATCAAATACAAAGCAATCGCAGGGCTGCTACTATCTTTAGCCTGTCTGAACGAACAATCTGCCGCTGACGCGCTGGTATACCTGCCTAACGCAATTGCCAGCCGACTCAAAGAAGCTCACTAAGCTAGAGGAGCAGGTGATTATCCGCTATATATTGGATCTAGACCGACGTAGATTTGCGCCTACGTACGCAGCTGTACGTGATATGGCTGATAAGCTGCTCACTGCGCGCGGCAGAGGACGCGTAGGAGTTAACTAGCTATCTACCTTTGTCAAGCGTACAGACAGTCTCACAACACGTTTTAATTAAGCGTACAATAGACAGAGAGCTCTATGCAAGGATCTAGCCCTAATTAGTTAGTAGTTTAAGCTTGTAGAGCAGACAAAGGCTAGGTACAGCATCTGCAATAATAACGTCTACAACTTTAATAAGGCAGGCTTTATAATAGGCAAGATTATAACTTAGCTTGTTGTAACAGGGTTAGAGAGGAGAGGTTAGCCAAAGGCTATTTAGCTAGGCAATTGTAAGTAGGTGACGTTAATTGCTGCGATTAACGCTGCTAGCTGGTCAGTACCACTTTTCCTTATCTTTGCTAGCTAGTATTATCTATCTACCTAGTACAAGGAAGTAGAGATCCTACACAACTAGGTAATTGTAGTTAGCAAAAATAGCTAGACAAATAATAAGCTAGGAGTAGAGTAGCTAAAGCACTTTAACACTTATATAAAGACTTATATTATTAGTGCGTGTTACCTGCTTGTCCTTAATAGCTATAAGAGCCACTACTCTCTCAAGTTTTAAGAGCTCTGTAAGGAGAATAATATCTACACACTCTATATACTACCTTAATTATCTTATCTACTTCAGCCTCCTAATATTAGCTGCTTCTTGCTATTAAAGCGCGCGTACAGCTGTAAGGTTGAGAGCCTAATCTACTACTACATTAACCACATCACTAAGCTTAAGTTTCTGCTAGCGTTTAAGGCAGCCTTTACACAATTGTTTATGCTAGATAATATCTGCTTAGCGTTTAGAGGCGCAGGCCTTGTTCCTCTTTAGGCAGACGTTGTTCTATCAAACCTTGATGTGCAGCTGCGTACGCCTACTCTAGTTGCTCTGCCAGAGGCTCTCTAGGAGGCTTGTACACTAAGCAATGTACGCAAGCTTAAGGCTTAATTAATGTTAATACGTGATTACGTGCATTAGCACAAGAGCTTATTACCTGCCTTAATTATTAAAGCAATTAACTAGCTTAAGAAGGGCGCTGAGGTGATAATGCTCTCAGCTAAGCTAATGCGTGATTAGATTACTAGCCTTAAGAGAGCCAATAAGGCAGCGTTAGCACGCAAACAGCGTAAGAAAAAGCGTATACAGCAGAGTAGGGTCTTAACAAAGGGAGCTGGAGAGGATCTACTTGCTTAACATGAGGCTGACTAGCAGATTGCTCGTGAGCAGCGTCAAGGAGGAGATCAATCAGGCCTTAGCCGCCAGGCTCTAGCGCGCTGCAGGAGGTGCAGAGAGACTGGCCATAACTCACGTACGTGCAAAGTAGATACTTAAGATACTGCTTTATCTAACGTACCTCACGGGCGAGTGGCCGGCCCGGGCGAGTGACCGGATTTTGCCAAGACCACACCAAACTTTATACAACCTGCGATGTCTTAATATAAAAAGGCTTAAAGCGTCTTAAAGGAACTAGATATACAGCTTGCAATCTAGGCTCTTAAACAAGACATAACTCTTACTATTCTTCGCGCTATAACAATCTACAAGGTGTTAGAAAGAACACTAAGATAATAATATGCTAGAACACTCTTAAGATATAATTATAAGGTTAACTTAATAAAGCTAACAAGCACTAAAGAGGAGGTAATTCTGCAGCATGTTCTAAAGCTAGACAAGCAAGGATACCCACCCTGGCTTACTAATGTAGAGGATATAGCTAACTCTCTACTCACTAAGCGCCACTAGCCTCCTGTTAGCAAGAACTAGGCTAGCACGTTTGTTAAGCGTTGCCTACATCGGGAAAAGTTTTTCCGTTGTCGAAATCGGGAAATCGTGGCATTGTACTGTGGGCAACAGTAGGACTTGTAGGTCTACAACAGCCATTCAATGTGCATTCAATGTCCAGCCAATTTTGAGCCAACGGCTCCAACGGTCCCAACAGCTGCAATGGCCACAACAACTCCTAATCCTGCTACAATAGTAGCTCTGCTTAATAAACTATACTTTTATTATATTAATATACTACTAAGTCTCCTCTTTAAAATAAGCTATTAAATAACATTATAGGCCTACTAATAGAATAGTTATTAAGCGTAGAAGGTTATAAGCACACAAAGGAGTGCACTGTTAGTAGCTATTAGCTGCTTATTCTAGACAGCTATAAGAGCTACAATTTAGTTAAGTTCTACTAGTACTATAAAGAACACAAGATTATTACCTTGTGTATGCCTCTACACTTATCACACCTGTTGCAGCTACTTAACGTAGGTTGTTTTGCCCTAATAAAGAAGGCCTATAGTTGCTAAGCTAAGCTGCTAATGCACAACAAGATTACTTGCATCACAAAACTTAAGTTTTTACTATGCTTTAAAGGAGCTTTTAATGCCTCTATTACTAGGAGCAATATCTAGGGAGGATTTAGAGGTGCTAGCTTAGTCCCCTTTAATCTAGAGGCTGTAATATTAAAGCTTAAAGTGCGCCTGTGTACTCCACCACTACCTACTATAGATAAGAGTACGTGGCACTCTTAAACCCTACAGAACACCCTAGAATTTAGGTTGCAATTAAAGCTTATTAAAGAGAGGATTTAATAACATAGCAATAGCTCTCTAACTTTAATAGTTAATGCTCTTAATTAGCTTACTAAGGGCGCAGAGATAATGGCACATTTACTAGTTTTAGTGCGTAACTAGGTCGCAGAGCTTCAAGCTGCTAATGAGGCCGCTACACGCTGTAAATCACACAAGAGGAAGCAGATCTAGAGGGAGGGGACTCTTACTGTTAGTAAAGGAGTGCGCTTAACTACCCTAAAGGAGTTTAAAGCCTATAATAATAGGAAGAAGGTAAGTAAGAAGAGGCATGTTAAACTAGGCACTTAGTCTTTACAACACTATAGCAGGTGTAGTAAGGTAGGGCATAACGCACGAACGTGTATAAAAGATGCGCAAGATACTGTAGATTAGTGCTGTATACTGTAAGTTACAGTAACTTGCAGTAACTTGCTGTAATATGCAAGAGAAGTTGAAGTTTGGTGTGGTCTTGGCAAAATCCGGTCACTCGCCCGGGCCGGCCACTCGCCCGTGAGGTACGTTACCCTATTAATATATATATATATATTATTATAACGTTGTTAAGTTAGACGTTAAATAAGGTGCGTAAGTTTGGTGGGGTGCGGCGCTCGCCCGTGTGCGGCGCTCGCCTGTGGAATACGGTAGTTGTACATCGAATCCTGCACCTTCAACGAACATTATCTCGTATCCTACATGTATGTCACCCTTGGGAGTTATATGTTGGTATAAAAGTCTATTCAATTACTCTAAATAATGCTAGCAAGACTACGCTACAGCATGATAACAAGACGAGAGAAATGCGCTCTGGCGGCGGACTGGCTGAGATCAAACATCAATTTCTGTCTTGGGCGGTAGCTTGACGCGTTTCTCCGTCCTGAGGTACAGGTTGATTGGCCTGATGAGCTGATACAAGGGATCATACTGGACAGTCTCGTCGCTATCTTTGATGAACTTGTAGCGGTAGATCAGCTTAGGCAAGAAGATTTTAATCTCCTGCAGGGCGAAGTTGAAACCAATGCACATACGGGGACCCGAGGCGAAAGGGATATACGTCCCCTTGTGGCGGTTCTTGACTTCCGGAGTGTCCCACCTCTCGGGGTCAAACTTGGCCGGGTTTTCCCATAAGTCGGGGCTGTGGTGGATGTTGTATATGGAAGCGATGATGACTGAATCCTTTGGCATCTTGTAGCCGCCAGGCAGTATCAGATCGACCTTGGCGGTTCGTGCAGGCTGGAAGGATGTGCCGTAGTGGCGATGTATCTCCTTGATGTACTTGTTTAAGTAGGGGAGCTTGTCCGTGAAATCTGGGGTGACTTCCATCTCGTCATTGAAGTCATTGTCAATAAGCTCCTGCAGCAGCTTCTCCTGTACGCCTGGATGTGCGACAAAGCCGTACAGCAGCCATGAGAGAAGTGAGGAGGTTGTGGTGAATCCAGCACCCGCGACAATCATGAGTGATTCCCTTGCAATTTCTCTTGGAAGCTTCTCCCCCTTGTTGTCGGTGGCTCGAACTGCGTAGTCAATCACGTTCGCCGCTTGTTCGGCAGCCTCCTGCAACGGCAGATCCTGCACACCGGCACTCTGAGCCTTCGTGATCTGGAGATCAATCAAGTACGACATGCGAGCCTTACAGGTGCGAAGACGCTTGGGATCACCAAACGGCAGGTCAGCGTACCAGGAGCCGTAGGAAGAGACCTTCTTGTTCAGGTGCAGTATATCAGCAAAGGTACTGACTATCTCGTGCATAGGAGCGTCCTTGTCTGCAAAGTTTTGCAAGTCCATGCCGAGGACCAGCTCGGCTACAGCTTGCGAAGCGAGCTTCATCATGTAGGGGTACGGGTTCCACGACTGACCAATCGACTCGAGCTCGTCAAAGACTTTGTACGCGTTCTCGACAGTCTTCTGCATGGTCGGGGCGTAGTGACGGACAGCCCTGGGACCAAACGCCGGTGGCAAAAACTTGTGTGCCAGCCTCCACTGAGGTGTGTCGGTGTCGGTCGCAAAAATGCCGGCTTCTGGCAACTTGAGAGCGTACAGAGGATGCGCCTCATTAATCTTCTTGGTGAAGAAATCTGTCTCGGAGAGTGTAATCGCCGCAATGACTGGATCATTCGTGTGGTATGTCGTTCGTCCCATGTTGCTAGTCTGGATCACAGGTCCAAGCTGCTCGAACAGGCGCTGGTAATTGCCCAGGTGGTCAGGGTACACGTCGAAATAGTTACCAACGTAAGGCAAGCCCTTTGGGCCAGGTACATCGCGAACTGCGTGTCCATCCACGGAAATGGCGATCGCTTCCTGAGATGACAGGATTTCCTTCACATTTGACAGACTGTCACCGCCACGAGTGAATCCGACACCTGCCCAAATTAGCTACACGTTTATGACCGCTTTCATGTTGGACGACCTTACCGTCAGCGACAACGATTGCGAAATTCGATGCAATAAGGTCTTTCAAGTCGTCCAAAGAGACATTCTCGTCAGCGTCGATAAGCCTTGCGGACGCAGGAGCATCGCCAAGCAGGAAGAATGATTGCGACAACATTGCAGTGATATGATGTGGTAGGAAGATGAGTTGATGGGAGCTGGGCAGGAAAGAACTGGCATATAAGTTAGGTTGGGGTCTGTCTACAGTCCCTTGGGTCCACGCCTCGCGGAGCATTTCCAACAACTGAAGCACGACGTCGGCCGACCGTAAACTGAGCCTCCGAGCCTTATCAGGGTCCAAGCAGGGGTCTGCTTTAGACGTTTAAACAACATCCCGCAATTGTAAGCCTTCCGACTGGCTGTTGGGGTAGTACCTCGGTACTATGCCGAGGTATTGCGGCCCGTTGCGGCCCTAACACTCCGTTGTGGGTCCGGCGTGACACCAAATGGTCAAGGTCGTCATATCGCTCACACAGCAAATGCTCGGTCGAGCCTTGTCTCAAGGACGGTCGCAATGCGACATACGTATGTGGACCGACTGAGATAGCGATGTGCATAATAGGACGCATCCCGCTTGCTTAAGGTTGACGCTGCCCCCGAGTCTATCACCTTAGCCTTTACTGCTCTCGCAAACCGGCAATGTCTGAACTACCTGTCTACAGCGCGGCTGATATCGCAGCACACTCAAGCAAAGATGATATCTGGATTACAATCCATGGGAAAGGTACGCTGGCCTGTAGATGATCGCAACTCCAAAAACTGACCCGAAGGCAGTCTACGATGTCACCACTTACGCACGAGACCATCCAGGAGGCGTAGATCTTCTAGTTGATGTCGCTGGTAAGGATGCGACTGAGGATTACCTAAACGTTGGCCACTCTGAAGACGCGGACGATATCCTGGAGGGCTACCTTATTGGCATCGCCGCCAGCCCAGAGAAGCCGAAGCGCTCGAAGGAGATCAAGCTTGTACAACAGGTACCGCTTCCCGCTACAGTGAAGAGCAGTTCCGTGGCCTCGGGCGTTGTGAAGGCCGTCGCCGGCCCGCTGGCGCTTGCAGGAGCCGGCTACTGCGCGTTGACGTACGGCCCTTCGCCACGCGTTCTTCTCTCCCACCTTCCTCAGCTGCCCGCTACCTCGGTCTCAAGTGGTCACAGTGCATTTGCTGGGGGTTTTGCGATTGCAAGCGTCGTCTCCACCATCGGTGCGACAGTCGTTGCCAACAAGCTCTCCAAACTCGTGAAGCTCGAGTCAAGCCTCAAAAAATATCCTGCCCGCCGCCAACAGCTTCCTTACATCAAGCCTGGAAACCCACATCTCGCCAGTGGCTTTCTGGACGCCAAAGCCTTCAAGCCGCTGAAGGTGGCAAAGATTGATCAACTGTCGTCCAACGTCTTCAAATACAGCTTCAAGCTTCCTAACCCACGAGATATTGTTGGTCTCCCAATCGGCCAGCACGTTGCCATCAAGGCTACTGTCGATGGCAAGGACGTCACTCGATCATACACCCCAACATCTAACAACCTTGATGTTGGCTTGCTAGAGCTAGTCATCAAAATCTACCCCGACGGTCAGCTTACAGGCAAATTCTTTGCAAACCTGAAGGCCGGAGACGAGGTCCTCTTCCGCGGACCCAAGGGCGCCTACACCCACACAGTCGGGCAATGCAAGAAGATCGGAATGATCGCCGGTGGTACAGGAATCACACCTATGTACCAGCTCATTCGCGCCATCTGCGAAGATGAGTACGACACGACCGAGATCTCTCTGATCCTCGCCAACCGAGCTGAGGAGGATATCCTGCTGCGCAAGGAGCTCGAGAGGTTCGCGAGGCGGTACCCCAAGAACTTCAACCTGTGGTTCATGTTGGACCATCCGCCGAAGGACTGGGCCTACGGGAGCGGCTATGTAACCGCGGATGTGATGAAGGAGAGGCTGCCTGCACCGGCACCAGATACCAAGATCATGCTGTGTGGGCCTCCGGGGATGATCAACGCATCGAAGAAAGCACTGGTGACACTGGGTTTCAAAGCGCCAGGCGCTGTCTCCAGGATGTCAGATGAGATTTTCTGCTTCTAGATAGGGACTAGTGGAAGCTTGCGAGCTTCATGGTGGTTGACGGCGTAGGGGTGCGAATGGGCGTGAGCAGAGTCATGCTGTTCGAGATTCCATTTATTCAGCCGATTCCCAATGCGGTACTAGCGTGTTTCTTTCCTCTGTTGTCATAGCATAGCGAATGGAGCTGTCATTAACAACATCGCAAAATCTTTGGATTTCGTGACTTTGATTTTGTCCCTTTTTCACAGGCTTGCATGTGCGGCACTACGTGCAAGATCGATTAATTCGCATCTGGCTTGGTTGATGCATTCGCACTGTGCAGCCTTGTCTCGGCCTCGGCACGCTACTTTCGTATTCTGACCGCTCATGAGCAAATTTCAAGCGTGTCCGACATCAGGGTCTGCTTAGGCACAAGTCAAAGGTGCTCAGTCCACTTGCCACGGTGCATTTGAATGAGGCTCCATTGAATGAGGCTCCATTGAATGAGGCTCCGCAGTCGCTGCAGCCAATCGGGAAGGTTCGCCCACGAGCTATTAATTTGAAAACATTCAGATCCCTTGCGACGGGCCTACGAAGGTAGATCGCCGAGGGCGAGATCGTCTCCGTCGCATCAAGAGCCTCGTACGAGCGGTACGAGGTCGACACCGAGATGGATATGCGACAAGATGCTGCTCTTACAGTGGGAACACCTTCGAGCTACCCGGCGACGTCGCCGCACTTCAGTATGCGCGCACATTGAAAAGTGCCGAAAGGTAGTTACTGTGTACGATGGGTGTAGTGCTCCAGACACCGTTGACGAACGCGTGTATACATGTGACTTACGCGGCCATCGTATCCTTATGTTTCCTATTATACACAAAGCATCATCGCATCACAACCTCGACTCCACTAGTCCTCCACAATAATCGTCAGTCGCAAAATCTTACTACTTTCGAAGCCGGACCTGTCTTGGCAATCACCCAAAGACTACAAGGAGCATCCAGTGGGCTATGAAGTATACTAGGCGCCGGTGTACTTGGTCACTGAATTGATAGGATGACCTGAACCAACTGGATGTACATGCTAACGCCACAAGCATGCACATGGGCACTCGGTGGGTATGAAGCCCAGGTCAGGGATCCAAGTACGGAGCAACGCGCGCAGTGGGTAGACGATGAAATCGCAACATACAAGAACATGACCACAACTGCAAGAGCAGAAAACTTCTAGGTATTTGTAATCCGGGAGCATGCGGTAGGATGAGAAGAGGGCGCGGCGTTGCTGTGGGCTGGAGACCGAGTCCATCAATCCACAAAGTGCCCACGTGACTCCGCACCGCGCCAACCCCGCCGCACACGCGACGCGTCTCTCCCCATCCCGAACCTTCAACAACGCTCACATCAGCCCCATCCGAAAAACCACACCACCGAGTCATTTCGAATCAACAATGGACCACCCCCAAACTCCGCGTGTGTTGCAACCGCACCTCTCGCAGTTCCAGCACAGAATCGTCCGCGTCCTGGGCAAAGTCGTGCAGCTGCGGGGCGAAACCGCCATCATCGACGCCGGCGGGCAGATTGATGTGATTCTGAACCGGGTGCGTTATCTTTCGTGCTTCGATGGGCATCGCGTCTCGAATGACTCATGAGTGAAGCGCGGAGCAAGGCAAGAAGCGAGCTAATGGGCGCAGGACGCGCATCTGGCTGTTGGTCATGCGGTCGAGGTGATTGGCAAGGTGGATGGGAATCTAGCGATCAAAGTGCAGGCCGCGACTGATTTCGGGACGAATATCGGTGGGTACTCTTTGTGCTATTTTTATGCGTGGCTCTTTCTGATTGCAAGCGGGGCGAGTGTACTTGCACAGAGAGCTGTGCGTGCGAGATGAGCCTCTGCTGTGGGGATGAACGGTGCTGACGATAATAAGACTTCAACGCTGCGAATGCGGTCGTGGATGCGACGCACCGGCACAAGGAGATTTTCTACGATGACCAGTAAAACGTCGATGGTGAGCGGAATTATGGAACGGATGCGATGAGACGACCTTCCCCTTAGCGGAAGAGCACTGAGCGAGAAGCGGTACGCGTCTAATGTACTGTACATCTACGAACCTCCCAAAAGGGACATGGTCATGGTATCGAAAGCAAAACGCCCCCAGGCCCTGTGTAAATGCCTCGTTGCCATGCGTTGCTGTGGAAGACGCAATCACTCACCCACTCACTGTCTCAAAATTCCCCACTCAATGTCTCGAAAGTTTCGCCGTCTTAGCCAAGTCCTCAGAGCTTACTCCGCACAGCCTCCAATCTAAACTTGACCTCCTTCAACTGCTTAGCAACCGGTCTCCACTCCTCGAACATGGCAAGCAACTCCTCGACTTCCTCGCCAAGCTCTTTCTTCACAAAGTCCTCCTCAAGAAGCCCGCGCATAGCCCAGGGAAGGAAGTACGGATTCTGACTCGCCGCCGTCGCAGGCGTCGCGTAGTCCTTGACCTTCAACTTGAGCACGTCCTCCTTGCCCAGCGCACCCTTCGCCATGGCCTCACCAACAACGGGGATGTTGATCCCCGCGAAACTTCCGCTGCTGCTCGGTCTCTCCCTGCCCTGGACAGGTAGGGATGTCGTCTCAAGCGCATGGCTCACAGCGAGACTGTAGACGCGGGCATCTTCATACACCCTGCTATGTCCCTCGCCGCCGTACAAGCTCCCCGCAAGCGCAGGCGAGAGTTCGCGAATCAGGCCGTGGTCCGGAAGGCCCAGGTTGCGCAGTTTGAGTGTGAAGCCGACGAGGTGGGTGAGAAAGTCGGGGGCATGGATGCGGCCGTCTACGAAGACGGCGCGGTAGATGTAGGGGTGTGAGAGGGTGGAGAATGTGCTTGACTGATATATTTTGTCAGCTCGGGGTGCTTCTACATCAGTGGAGAGTGGCTGGCGTGGCTTACCTCGAGACTCACGAGCTGGTCGTCGATGCTCCCGACGTACATGATCCTTACACCGAAGCGCAAGACCTCGTCGAGCGCGGCGAGATACATCTGACTGACCAAACTCTGCGGGTTGCTGAACTCGAACAGCTCCGCGGCGGTGGGGCCGAAGTATTTGGTTTTGTACTCGATGAAAGGGCCCATGTTTACTCCCGCCATGGCGCAGACTCCCACCCGCACGTCTTTTCCAATGCATCCGAACTGGATCAACTTGGCCACGAGCATCATTGCGACCGGCACGCCCTGGCTGTGGCAGGCGACGAGAACGAAGTCTGCGGATTTGATGTGGTCGATCCAGTTCAACAGCAGCTTCCACAGGGTGTTCACGCGCTCGGCAATGAAGCCCTCGCCCTCGAGCGCGACCTGCTCGATCTCCGGACAGTATCCACGTGCTTCAGACCACTCTTTGATGGCCGCTGCCGCAGCGTTGGCGAACCGTATCGACGTTCCAGTCGGCTGGCCCATGATGCGTTGGAAGATGGGCGCGGGAAAGAAGCCATGGACACCGATTGCGACGGCTTTTTTGATCCGCGGCGGCGCCGGGTTGATGTGCAGGTGTGGTGCGAGGGGTTCGGCGCCGAGGAAGTATTGGCGCACTTGTTTCCAAAAGGTAGGTTGGCGGGCGAGGCGGTAGGTGGAGTTGAATTCGGGGAGGATGAGGTTTGGCGGTTCTTGTTTAGCCTTGTCTGCCTGCTTTGGCGCTGGCTGTGCGGTGGGAGCGGCCTGGGTGGTGCGTGTTGGCCCGCGCTCGGGGGAGGACCTGGTGGGTGTGGCTGGCGCACTCGAGGCTGGGGTATCCGCTGGTGTCTCACTTGAGACATCTTTCAATGTGGCCTTCTTCCTGGCTCGCCCTCGCAGAGAGCCCAACGACTTCTTGACTATCGACTCTTTCGGCTTCGGCGACTCCTTCACTGCCTCTAGCGTGTCTGACTTTGACTGCTCCTGCTCGTTGAACTGAGCTGCCTCAGGATGAGACTGCGACGGGGTGTCGAAAACTGCGACCTCGCCAACATGCTTCTGGGCCTCACCTTCTGCGGGCTTGCTATCTGTTGGCTCTCGATACCAGAACGCCCAGCCTGACGCCTTTGGCTGTGTTTTTGGTGGTTCCTGTGGAGCCTCAGCCAATGCATCGGCGGGCTTTGCAGGTTCTGTCGGCTCTGTCGACTCTGTCGGCAGTGCTTCTTGCGGTGCTTCTTGTGGTGGTCCTGCTACGTCTGTTGGCGCTAGCTCTGTCGTCTGATCCGAGTACGTGTTTGGTGTGAAGAAGTCCTTGGCAGCCTGTTGGGGCTCAGGCGAGTTAGCTTGAACGTTCTGCTGAGTGCTCCACAGCCAGAACCATGAACCACTCGCTGTGTTTCGCAATGTCGCTTTGCCGGCTGTCGCTGATGCGTCTTTTGTCTCCATGGCGTCAACAGGTGCTGATTCAGCAAGTACGTCAACCTTCTTGTCGCCATCTGTTATCTTGTCGTTGGCCAGCGCGCCGTCCAGCCCCTTCGCCACTGCATCTGGCTCTTCCGAGGGTGTCGGCCCTGGCAGTGGCGTGCTCGAGGCCTCTTCGACGCTCGCTGTCTTCGCTTTTGCAGCATCTGTGTACCCATCAGGCCGCGACCACCAACTTGTCCATCCCCACGTGTTCGCGACTTGCTCTGTCTGTGCAGGCTCAGGCGGTAACGGTGCCTCGTCTCCGCTGGGTGCTGTCTCCGGCGCAGGCGTGTCGTCGTCCTTCTTGGCGGCAGCTACCTCGGCCTCTTCCACGGAACCATCTGAGGAGACGGTGATCTTGGTCGTCGACGTCGGCAGGGCGAAGCTCTTGCTCGACTTGCGCTTGGTCAGGAACCGCGCTGGAGAATCGCTGCTGGGCTGCTTTGCCGCTTCCTTGGGCAGCTCAGAAGTCGCTCCACCGCTGACGCTGATACCAATCGTCTCCTGTGCTGTCTTGACCACTGCTGGTGCCTTGGACCGCCAGCTGCCCGTGCCACCCAGCCATTTACGCGCGCTCTTTGGTGTTTGCGTGCCTGTCGTCGCAGGCGTGGACGTGCCTTTTGTTTTTGCCGAGGCCTCTGACGCCGTTTGGCTTGTGCTCGAGTCGTGCGATGTTATGCTTGCATGCAGCGCGTCGGTGGTGGGCTCCGTGGTGTTGCTTGTGGGACCTGTCGTCGATGCCTCGGCTTTGCCATCTGTGGGTGCCTCGGGGTTGGGCTTGGCCTTCTTGCGGGGACTCATGGCTCTGGTGAGCGCTGAGTAGGCAGTGCAGGCCGCAGGGCGGGCGGGTGGTGTTGAGTCCAGAGCATGTGAGAGCGGCCGTGGCTTGTGGTTAGCTTGCGCGTTCCCGTGAGCGGCTGAACGTGCATCAACAGATGCCCTGCGTCATGGCTGCCCGTGCGCTTGGGGATGAGGTGTGGCTGGTGCGGTGGGCTGGCCGCTGTGGCGCACGGCTCGCCTGCAAGTGGGCGTTGACGTTGGCGGCTCCACTCAATTTTTCTGCCGCGTGAAGTTTCACGTAGCGGCAGTACTCCACGCTTCACGCCCACGCCCACGCCCTCGCCCTCGCCCACGCCCGCCGCAGCCATGGCGATCCAGAAGAAGCACGGCAAGGGCCGTCTCGACAAATGGTACAAGCTCGCCAAGGAGAAGGGCTACCGCTCGCGTGCGGCGTTCAAGCTGATCCAGCTGAACAAAAAGTACAACTTCCTCGAGAAGAGCAAGGTCCTGATCGATCTCTGCGCCGCGCCAGGTGGATGGTGTCAGGTCGCCTCAGAGGTGCGCATGGCGGTACGGATCACAAGGATAATGACTAACCAGCGCAGGTCATGCCTGCGGGCGCCCTCATCGTTGGTGTCGACCTCGCGCCCATCAAGGCGATCCCGCGCTGCATCACGTTCCAGAGCGACATCACCACCGACAAGTGCCGTGCGACGCTGCGCTCGCACCTCAAGCACCTCAAGGCCGACGCCGTCATCCACGACGGCGCGCCCAACGTCGGCACCGCGTGGGTGCAGGACGCCTTCTCCCAGGCCGAGCTGGTGCTGCAGTCGATGAAGCTGGCCACCGAGTTCCTGTGCGAGGGCGGCGTGTTCGTCACTAAGGTCTTCCGCTCCAAGGACTACAACGCCCTGCTGTGGTGCTTCCAGCAGCTGTTCATGAAGGTCGAGGCCACCAAGCCGCCCTCGTCGCGCAACGTGTCGGCCGAGATCTTCGTCGTCTGCCGCGGCTACAAGGCCCCGAAGAACCTCGACCCCAAGTTCCTCGACGCGCGCTACGTCTTCGCCGAGCTGGCCGAGCCCGCACCGAACAACGAGGCCAAGGTCTTCAACCCGGAGAAGAAGAAGCGCAAGCGCGGCGGCTACGAAGAGGGCGACTGGACCCAGTTCCACGAGGCCACCGTCGCCGAGTTCGTCGAGACCCCCGACCCCATCGCCATGCTAGGAAGCCTCAACCGCCTGACCTTTGACCAGACGGGCAACGGCGACGTTGCCATCGCGACCATTGACCAGCTCAAGGAGACGACCAAGGAGGTCCGCAACTGCTGCGCCGATCTCAAGGTCCTTGGCCGCGCCGACTTCAAGCGCCTCCTGCGCTGGCGCCTGAAGGTCCGCGATATATTCGGCTTCTCCAAAAAGGCAAAGGACGCAGCCGAGAAGAAGGAGGCCGAAGCGGCCGACGCCGCCAGGGAGGGCGAGGAGGAAGCCCGGATCGAGAACATGGACGAGGAGATGCGCCTGCAGGAAGAGCTCGAGCGCCTCAAGGACAAAGACTCGAGGCAGAAGAAGAAGCAGCGCCGCATCGACAACGAGCGCAAGCAAAAGGAGATTGTCCGCATGCAGATGAACATGGCCACGCCCTTTGAGATTGGCCTCGAGCAGGCTGGGCCGACCGGCGACGACGCCATGTTCGCGCTCAAGGCGGTCGAAAAGGACGGCTCGCTCTCCAGGATCGCCCGCGGCAAGATGGCGCAGGTCATCGAGAAGGAGAGGGACGAGTCGAGCGAGGAGGAGCTGACAGACGACGACGAGGGCGACAACCTCGAGCGCTACCTCGACTCGCAGTACGACGAATATGTTGAGCAGAAGTCGGCCCGCGACGCAAAGTACCGCGCCAAGCGAGCGAGAGGCGACAACGAGGACGGCGAGTGGAACGGCTTCTCCGACGGTGACAAGGAGGAGAGCGACGACGAGCAGCTCGTCCAGGACGACGACAGCGATTCGAGCAGCGACGAAGACGAGGATGCCCCGAAGAAGCTCATCACAACGCTCGAGGGCGCAGAGTCCGAGGGCGGCCTGACAAGAAGGGCGCAACGCTTCTTCGACCAAGACATCTTCCAGGGCATCGACGGCCTCGATGACATTGAGGAAGACGACGATAGCGGCATCGATGTTGAAGGCGACGAGGACGCGAAGATGGAGGACGCTGAAGTCACAGAGGCCCCGTCCAAGCCCACAAAGAAGGCAACCTTGGCCGATCCCGCACCCGTAGAGTGGTCAGACGAGGACGAGTCGGACAAGATCGAGGAAGTCGCCCGCGACGAATCGCAGTGGGAGCACGACGACATCCCGATGAAGAACGGCAAGCCCGACATCGACATTATCACCGCCGAGGCCATGACGCTCGCGCACCAGATGGCCACGGGCAAGAAGACAAAACACGACCTTCTCGACGACTCGTTCAACCGCTACTCCCTGCGCGACACCGACGGCCTGCCCGACTGGTTCCTCGACGACGAAAACAAGCACTCCAAGCTGCAGCGCCCGACCACGGCCGCCGCCGCCGCCGCCATCAAGGAGAAGATGCGCGCCCTGAACGCGCGGCCGATCAAGAAGGTGCGCGAAGCGCAGGCCCGCAAGAAATTCAAGGCCGCCCAGCGCCTCGAGAAGCTGAAGAAGAAATCCGCCATGCTGGCCGACGAAGAGGGCATGACGGAGAAGGAAAAGGCGCAGAGCATCGCGCGGCTGATGAGCAGAGCGAGCAAGAAGAAGCCCAAGGGCAAGGTTAGCGTTGTCGTTGCCGGCGGAGGCAACAAGGGCATCAAGGGCAGACCCAAGGGCACAAAGGGTAAGTACAAGATGGTCGACGCGCGGTTGAAAAAGGACGTGCGCGGCTTGAAGAGGGCGGAGAAGAGGAACAAGAAGAGGTAGATGCAGCACAGCTGAGACCGGGGAAGCAATACAGCATTGCACGGCGTTTGATATCGAAATTACAGAGTTGGTTCGTCTCATCCTTGGACTCGCCTTTGACTTGGGCTGCTCACGACGAGTTCCTGTCTGTCACTCGTGACTCCCCACGGCATCCAGGCATTCAGACATGTTACTGTGCACATAAGATTCCATTTTTGAGACACGATTCTGCGCTGCCCCCACAGGGTTTAGCCAGATGCACATCTGTGAAAGCGATCACATGGGGTGTATCTAGATTGGCAACAGACATTCTTGCAGCAGGTGAACTCTCTAGTTTTCTACCATGAACATTCTTCATTCCCATCTGCCCTCCAATGGAGAAAAGCGGTCCTTTCAATTGTTCGGACATTTTGGTAGAAGGGTCATCTCAGGCGTGAATCTCAGAATCTGGCACTCCCAAGATAGACTTGGAGAAGATATTTGCAGTCTCTAGGACGGGACTTGAGGCTGAACCATGATCGCTTTGAAACCCATCCAGGACGTCGTCATTGTCATTTGGAAAAGGCCTCGCAGCAAAGCGCGGCCTTAAGATACGCTTCCTGCTCTTCACTCGCCTCTTTCTCCGACTCTCCGTCAGCTTCGGAACGGGCCCTGCATCTAGAATATGCGCATAAAGTCCACGATCGTCTTCATGCGCTCGGGGTCGGTTGGATTGGACGCAGGCTCCGGACTTGAAGATGTTGCACGTAACCCCTGCGCACCTTGGATTGGCCTGTCCTACGTCAGATTCGAGTAATGGCCAAGCATTGAGCGTATCATCTTTCTGCGATCCCTGCATGGATCGCCGTGGTTACAATCTTTGTCTCCCGGGTGGCAGTAGACACAAACCACCAGACGTCTAAGCACGAGGAGAAGGACACGGTAGAGCGCCAGCTGAAGGATGAGAAGCGCAAGGCCAGAGCTCAAGATACCGCAGGCTAACCTCGAAATCACCCGTGATTCGAACACGGACAAAGACTTTAGCATCAACGAGCCGGCCGACGAGATCACCTAGATCAAGGCTGGGCGTGCCTGCGACTGCACCCGGATCGAGGACCAGGCCCAGCAGATTGCTGCGCTGACGGCAAGGCTCAGTATCAAGGAGCATCCGGTGTTCTCATCCATGGTCGTCGCCGACGGTGCTGCTACTGCCGAGTCGTGTTCGCGCTAGCGTGTATGTGTTAAGGGACACTACGCTGTAAGTCCGATCAGCAGGTAGCGTCAACTTAAAACTAATGAATTGCAGTAAATGCATTCAATTTATCAAAGTAGATCTTTAATGGGAAACCGATTGAACCAAATATGGAAACGGGTCTCAGTCAATGCATCTATCTGGAGTCGGTTTCTGGGACCAAGGCAAGTGCTCATTCGAGGAACGGAGCTTCAGAGACATCGAGCCTCAGATTCAATGGTGAATTAAAATGTCGGCGGAAAGATGTAGCCTTAAGGCTCCTGTGTCGTGTGAATCAACCCTATCAGAATGCTTCGACGATCCCCTGAAGTGACATGTTTGATGAATCGTTTAAAATTTCCGACATTTTTGCTTTGCCCGAGTAGCGGTTGTTTACATGTCAGTATGTCGCCGTGAGTCTTCCGATGATATACTCTCCACTCTGCACGTCCTGATACTTTCTCCCTGCTTCCTCGTACGTCCCTGGGATCGCCTTGATCATGCGCTCGTAGTTGGGGTTGCAGAAGTACGCTATCGAGTATCGTGGTGGGTAGCTGTCTGTTCCATCGTCGTCCTTCTGGGGCGGTGGCTCAATGACGCGGTGCTTCGTTGATTTGATGGTGTCGTTGGACCACTGAGCAAGCAGATCTCCAGCGTTGACTACAATCGTCCCATCAATGGGTGTAGCGTTGACGAACGTGCCCTTGGGCGTCTTCACCTGCAGTCCACCACGCTTGTCTTGGAAAAGAAGAGTGATGCTGCCGTAGTCGCTGTGCTCGCCAGCACGAACTTGTAGTTGTCCGTCATTCCTCTTGAATACCGACTTGGACACGCCAGGGTAGTGCAGCAGACGCAGCGTGTTGTCACCGGCATCCGTGAACCCGTCGAACCAGCTCTCTTCGATATCCATACCCAATGCAATAGCGCGCATAATCTGCATATGTAGACCCTTGCATGTGTCGAAGAACTTCAGCATCTCGTGCTTGAACTCCTTCGCCGCCTCGTCCCCACTGGGCCACATGTTGGGTGTATCTGGCTGATTGTCCCTCCCGATCTCCAACGACTCTTTCAGATCTGGGACGGTCTTGCGCATCTCTTCCTCTGTCCCTGTTTCGTCGAGGGGGACAAGCTTTTCTCGCCCTTGTGCTACATAGCCACGGTTCGCTGCCGCAGAGTACCATGCCATGGCATCCTTTTGATCCTGTGGGCGCACGAAGAAACTGGCGCTATGCGAGAAGGCATTCGAAATAGTCGAGGGCGATATGCCATGGTTTTTGAGGTAGATGAAGCCTGCGTTTTGGAACCCCTCAAGGACGGCCTCAGCGGTGGCCTTCTTGGTCGCAGGGTCGCCGGAGAGAAATGCGCCAAAGTCGATGAGCTACGAAAAGTCAGGCAGTGCATCAAAGCTATGATCTTGAGCATACTGGGATGACTAAGTCGTCCTGTGCGACTGCCTGATTGGGTTTGTTGTCCGCCATGGTATGCTACAAGTGTCGCGTGCGATCACAACGTGTTCCAGGGAGTTTATAGAGGGTCAGTGAAGGATTTACAGCGAAGATAGGGCAAGTCAGGTTGCGAGATTTGGAAAGCAGTCGTTCCGACCAGCATCATCCGACACAGACGCCGTCGGCGGAACTGCCCGCTGCCACTTTGTCATGGAGAGATGCGCGGATGTGACCAGGAGGGGTCAAAGCCTGAGACGGAAGGTGCAGACGAGGCGTGCGATAAGCGCGATAGGCCCTTGCGGTGGGGCCGATGTCAACACCACGACATCATCGTGAAGAACTCCTCCGTCGTGCCTCACCGGGGTCGAAACAGCGACTCTTCCACAACGCTCACTTTAGTTGTTGCGATTCATACCTTGAATACGTTCTCGTGACAAGCCCATACACGACAGACACGCGTCAAGCTCGCGCCTAAACGCGTGAAGCGTCTAGACTCATTGACCTTCAAAACGTCTGAGTTCATTGATATGCTTGCTAAGATGATATAACGTAGAATCTCACATCTCTTCACCTGAGATCAGGTACAATTCTGCCCTATGCGGATCCATGCCAGGTTGACTCGGTATGGCAATGCGACTTGTCAACATCAATGACCCCGCAGCATCTCATAATGGTCCTCTGCTTGATTAGCTAGACTGAACATGTCAACTAGGATAGTTGCAGTTCTTTGATTATCGTTCCAAACTTGATAGCCATACAGAGCTCGGGATTACGTTACCCTGAAGTATTTGACGAAGCTGGCAGCGTAGAACTTTGCGAAGTCTAAATAGGTAGGAGACACTTTCTCGATGGGGTTGAAGGAACGCGAGCTACAGATTAGCATCCCAGTACCTAGCAAGTACAAGACGCTGCGCGTCGTACTCTTGATCGACCCAAATCTCGCCAACGACAACGTGAAAGGAAGCTGCAGGGTCTTTGACAAGCACAGAGTGAACTTGGTCCGCTAGCTGAACTATTAGGACTTAGCAGATTTAGATCAGGAGTATCTCGAGCATCATTGCCTGTTACCGACTAGTGCTGTAGGTCTCGGAGCTGGTGTTGATGCTGCAGAAAATTTCAGTCGACCTGGATGTCAGAGTATCTCTATCGTTGGCCAAGAAAGAGATTCAGGTCCACCGGACCTTCAAGCTATTGACTGATCGCAAACACGACGTCCGTATCATCTCCCACGCGAAGTTTCGAGTAGCGTACACAACTGATCCACCTTGGCTCGAGTTCCAGATCAGACAGAATCTCGACAACGTCATGATTGTGGCCAACTTGAGGATCGGCGGTATCGTCCAGCGCTTTGCATTTGTTCCATATACAAGCATGGGTCACAACATATAGACGCAGTAGCTGTGCTACACCTATGTCCAGGCCGCTCTCGGAGTGTCCTACGCCTCGTAGGACTACTACGCCGACCGCCTCTGTGCGATTGAGGACGTGTATACGTCCATGAGTCCGTTGGCAACAAAGAAAGGAAGTTCTAGGCGAGCGGCTTCGCAGCTCTTTGTGAGAGCATGTTTGGCGAAACGTTCGACAACACCATTGCCTTTGTGACAAGTCAAGTAGCCGGCAATGGTGAGCGCAAAGGCAAGGGTTCTGCAACCGCTAGCGCTGATAAGAAGATACGGAGGAAGGAGTCCCTAGGTAAGGAGTGGTTCGATGTTGTAGACAGATTTGGTCGAAAAGCAGTACAGGGAGTGGGCGCCAGAGATCGCCGACGTCGAGTAAGAATGGAAGCTGGAAAAGAACTCGTGGCACTAGGACTTGGGCGAGACTATGTCTTGGATGTAGAGGGGACACGACTGTTGATACTTCTACTGCTTTTTGTTGTACTCGTAGACATCATCTTTCTGTGTTGTGAAACCTTCCAACAGGTAGTCGCGGTATACTGATGGAAGGCGCTACTATATCCTGCGGTTCGAGTGTAGGACGTACGAGCGATGTGATGGGGCCTGAGGGCATGACTCGGTGGCTGAGGCTGTGGAAGAGCATGCGTACCCCTGCCGATTGGTATTCACGTTTGAAGAAAGTCGCAGGACAAAGCTGAACTAGGAAGCGCATCTCAAATCTTCTTCGATGTCCAGCAACAAGGCTGCAACACTCACGAAAAATGATGGACCGGCCGATCGAGTTGATCGCCTAGCGTATGGTCTGCGGGCATACTGTATGCTCCTTAGCTTGGACTTTTGTGACTTGAATGGAAGGATTACGAAAGTCCTTACGACTGACAAGCCACCGCGCTGCGCATGATGAAGTTGCGGCGAGGAGTGTGGGATTTCGCTGCGCAACCAGCCTCGCCAGGCGAGGAAAGACGTCAGGGCTGCAGAAGGATGACGAATATCGCTTGACCGTGGATGACTGGACTTCGTCGCCGAAGAACCATGCGCACACCGTCAGGATGTTGAATCTATCGTGATGTGGCGAGCCGAACTGAGCGGTCAATCAGACTCGCAGGTCGCTAAAGTAACAACGCATGCTCATCTTCAACGAGAAGCGTTTGCTTGCAAAGCAGGCACCCGCCGACGGATTACAAAACTCCAACCTTTGGTAACGCGCGTGATGCGGCAGCCGACGCTGTCGAGAATATAAAAGAATTACAGGGAATCCACAAAATCTGTCTCATGACATACGTAGTAGACACGGTCGAGTGACTGCGATGGAAGACACCTGCCGCGGCAGAGCTGTCAGATCCGTCGTCAAAACTCTGGGCGGAAGCGCTGGCGCGGAAGGAATATGAAGATCCTCTATGCACCAGTCACGATCCACTGGAAGCAATCGAATCGCGAGTTCCAACTACGATGAATCAGCCGCCTCAGTCCATCCGAAGATGACGAAGAACCAAGCCAGCGCGCATGCCGACAACAGTACCTAGGCGGTGGGTCCGAGTTCAAAGAGCGAGGTGTCGTGGAGAAGAAATGAAAGCTGCACTGTGGCGCTAGCTGACTGATCAAATAACTGTCTGGGCGGGTGTGGGGTGCTTGTACCTGCCCGAATGAAGTGAAGGTGAAGGAGCGTTGATCCAGCCGATGAGACCCTACACAATCAACAACCTAAGGGACTTGAATAGACCGATCGTTTTCATGTGATAAAGTGGCTGGATAATTCGAGAAACTTGCAGTCACCTAGGATACGCGAACTGAAAGATCGGCCGCAGGCGAGCAGCAGCTCTTTGCGCACATCAGAGTGGGCAGGCCTAAATCGGTGCCTAGCAGAGTCCTTTGTCATAGCTATTCCTGCGAAGAACTACATCTTCTCACCCACTTAGTCAAGTTGACCTCGATCGCACGCAAGTACCGAGCATGTACACCAACCCGAGCGACGATGCGGCAACATCCTCTAGTCACAGGGTCGCGAACATCGATACCGAGATGGAGCGCAGAGACATTGAACATTTAAAGCTACGAGTGAAAGAGGCGGAGCAGGAGAATCCAGACCTAAGGGCGTCTGAAGAAGAGAGCTTCTAGCTGTACGTGGAGGGAACGAAAGCGAACTCGGAAGACAAAGAGGTAGAGCTGCAACGACAAATCACCGAGATGGAGATCGCGCGATAACGAAGGATCTTCGACAAGCGACTGGAGCGAATGTGCGCCTAGGATGTCGACAAGGCTCACAAGCTCAAACTTGAAACTACGGTCAAATTCGCCAAGCTGGAGGCAAGACGCGAAGAGAAAGACAGGTAGATCAAGGCTAAAGATGACCTCGTCTGCGATATGCAACTGCAAGATAGACTTCTACAGCTGCCTCAAACTCCACAGTCAGCGACCGTCCAACGACGGACAACACGCAGGCCACGATACACAAACTGGAGCTGCAGTTGCAGGCGTCACTGGTCCAACGAAGCGGGTGAGAACGAGGAGATGCTCGAGCCCCAGTGGAACAAGCGAAAGAGGGCGCCGAGGGGGAAGGATGTGATGAAAAACACCTGGCGCTCTAAGGAGTGACTGATACCGGGACAAGAAGCAATGTATTCTACATGGATCTATTTCAAGGAGCAATGCGTCTGCTTGGCGGCACTTCGTCGAATCAGACCCTATGTGGGTAGTTTTCCTGCCAAGTTCAGAATAATGTAGTCTTCAAAGACTTTATCGAATTGAGCGTTGCCCGTAATTCACTCGTGAATGACTCCCGGAATTGCATGTCGTCGTTCTCTCAACATAGTGCCTACCTCAGTCGCGTTCAATAATTGTCCATGTGCAGCCATCGTGCTCAATCGTATCACTCGCCGAGGATTTGAGAAGTTTCTCGCACGGAAGAGCGCCATCGCGACCGATCAACCTACTCCGTGACCACCCTTGCTTTTCGCTCCACTCCCACCGCTCGGCCGTGACCTCATCTTTGATTCTCAACAACCCCTGGCAAAGCCTTCCAACACGGACAACCCTGCCGCGGCGGTCTACGCCTCGATCATAGTCAAGCACCACAGTTTGACTTCCCTCATCACCGGGTACGGGAACCATGTTTTTCTCGATCCAGATCTCCTCGTAGTCAGTCGGCGACCCTGTCTCAGGATTGACCATGTTTCCAACTTCGAGGACCAGCTCGTCTCCGCCGTCAGCGTCCATAGGGTACATGTATCCTTCGTCTGTTGCCGAATCAAGTTCTACAGTGCGCGAGTCAATCCAGTGATGGAACGTCGAGAGCGTGACATGTTGGCCTTTGTCAGGGACGGCCACTGATGATGACGTTCCTGCGATGGCCCAATCCAGTCTCCTCAAGTCCAGTTGCTTTTCTTGCAAGCGTCAGCTCGATCGCCGACAGGGACTGAAGCGCGACCTACCGTCCTGGTCTTTAGATTCGTCACTCCCGGGTTTCAAAATTCGAATGTCAACAAATCTTCGCTGTGCGGAAGAAAGCACGATCGTGGAGGTTGGCTCAGACGCGTCTTCTGGAAGCCAGCGAATCGATTTACGTATGGACACTCCTGCCATATTTTCAAGAACTCGTCGTTCTAACTCTCAGAAAGTGTTTGAATGCTGATGTAATGTGTCACTTGATGCATTCTCTGATGACGCTCCTCTGTCCCGTATCAAGCCTTCGCCAAGCGGAAGCCAATCACCGCGCCGGCCAAGGTCGCAAATTTCAGGCTGTTGATTGGACAGAGAAGGTCCGGTTCCGGTGCGCGCGTACTCACGTCGCGCCTATTATTAACGTTAGAGACCACAACAGCCTGGTAATATACAGCGATCCGTCTGCTCTTTACATTTTTCATTCGTTCATTCAGAGAACAACATGAAAAATAGCTGCGCTCTTCGACGTCATGCCGCTGCGGTGTCTTTATCAACATGGTCCGACAGGCTTTCTGTAACGGTTGTGAGGAGAAGCAGATCACGTGTTGTTGGCGGTGGTCTGGTGCTGCTTCCTCATGTTGTTGAGCACCTCTTACCTCTGCTGCATCACAAACACGTCATGCAGAACAGACCCCGCAGCCAGCTTTCGACAGACACAAGCAGAACAACAGAACAGAACAACAGAATACACTCGTTTTACATTTGCACTTGACATCGCAACACTTTCCCTTCAGGTTGCTGTATAAGAACTGGAACGTCAACACCCACTGCGATGTCCTTACGTAGTTAGGCGAAAGAATTACTTCTTGAACATATGCCTCAACTTCCCCATTCTCACATCTGTCAACTTGCAACTCTACTTTCCCACTACTCAATCCTCAAGCCTCAGTATCCTCACCGCATTGCCGCCCAGCACACCCTGCGCCTTCACATCACTGTCCGCAAATGCCTTCGAAATCGCGCCATAATTTGCGTTCACACTATGCCACTCCTTGGCATCCTCCTCCAGCGGCGGAAAAAACGGATGGTCTGTTCCAAACAGCAGTCTATCCGCACCACTCGCCTCAACCGCCGCATTGAGCCCGACTTCCGAGTAGATGACCGCGTCGAGGTAGATATTCGTCTTCAGAATATCCCACAGGTCGCGGCGCTTCTGCATCTTACCGTGTGCCTTCAGATGCCCATCGTGCAGAATGCAGCTCTCGATGCGGCCGGCGAGGAACGGAAGCGTACCGCCAGAGTGCGCGAGCAGCACGTTCAGCCCCGTGTGCCGGTCCCAGACGCCGCTGAGCAGCATCCGTGTTACCGCGATGGTAGTTTCGAGCGGGAATCCGAGGGCTAGGGGGAGCACATGGCCATACTCGCTTGCGCGGGGTCCGTACACGGAGGAAGGAAGCCCGTAGTGCGGGTGCAGGAAGATCAGCTGGTTGTGCTTTTGCAGTGCAGCGTAGACGGGGTCGAGGTTGGCATCGTCGAGACCGGAGCCTAGGCCTGAGGTGCCGAGGATTACGCCACGGGCATACTTGAGTGTCGAGAGGCGCTCAATTTCTGCGACGATGGTGGCTGTATCCGCTGAGAGGGGAAGGGTACCGAAGAAGTATAGTCGCCCGGGGTACAGGCTGCATTGCTCGTTGACGTCGTCGTTGATCTCCACGGCTTTCTGGCCTGCTTCTTCGGCGGGCAGGAAGTCTAGCCATGGGTTTGCAAGCGATATGACGCTCTTGTCAATTCTGTGCTGGTCCATGAATTCGATCTTCTTGGCGATGTCGAAGTACTCCGAGCCGATGGGCCGCCCGCGTGAGGTTGATGGCATGGACGGGTCATCTTCGCCGGGCAGAATAATCAGACGTGATGAGTCGGGTGCGTCAGGAAAGTTGCGAACGTAGGGGACTGTTGTGCGAGATCGCAGGAGGTCCATGTACTTCGGAGGGTAGACATGTGTGTGAATGTCCACAATGGGCGCCATTTTGGAGGTGGTTGCTTGAGGCGGACTGTGTTTGGTGATGACTCTGATGAGTATGTCCGCACCGGTCTTTCAAGTGATCCTTCTCTTGAAACTCCTGGATCTTATCAAGATGCCAGTGTGAAGCTTGAAATCTAGCGGGGTAGCTCCACGCAGAGGCCCCACTTTCACCACGTCTCACCTTCCTCAACAAGCGTGGAGCTATGTAGCGAGCGGGTTACGGAGATGTCCGCAGCGATAGTTGGCCACGTCGTAGTCATAATGGAAGCCTGGCATGTTCGAAGCATTAATATACGGTAGTGTTGTAGTCATTCGATTCTTCATGCATTTTGACTGTGCTCAAATACCAGTCCTCAAAAAGACATTCGCCGGCTTGTCCCAATCCTTGAACTCATCGTCAACTTCGTACACAATGTCGCCCTCGCCCTCGTCCTTAAAGCCTAATTTCCTATACACTGCTCTTCCCATGGCACTTCCTTCTGTCGTGCACTCTAAATCGCCTCTCCTCTTCGCTTCCTCCAGGCCCCATTGTACAAGCTTGCCGGCAATGCCACGTCTTTGGTATGCTGGATCAACAGCACAGAGATCTAGTGTGAAGATGGCGGGCGGCGTTTGGCGGTCCTTCTGCTGGGCAATTTCCTTAATATAAGAAATGCGTCTCTTCCAAAGTGACTTGAACATCTGATCGGCAAAGCGCCTGTGTGTGTCGTCTAGCTTTGCCAGTGCCTCAGACATGTCGCCAGTGAACTTATCACCGTAGCCTTCCACTTCAGAGAACTGCCCCCAGATAGCCATGCCTGCAACCCTGCGCTGTCCGGGGTTCTCGGGGTCGGGTAGGGTGGCCTTCAGGTAGATCTTGTTCGGCTGGCCATCTTTATTGGTAGTCCCACTCTTCCACTGCTCAATCATGGCTTGAGCGTGGCCAGCTCGTCCTTCTTCTGTGTCCCATCCTGGACTCATCGAGATCCAGACAGCGTCCTTTGCTTGACGGCCGAAGGCTTCTGATACACAATGGTTGGCTTGTATGATGTCCTGCTCAGTCTCGACGGGCGCGACGACGACCTCATCGTGGGTGGTGTTGAGGTTGTCCTGAGTAGCGGTCATGATGGCCAGTTGCAGGGCTTTTCGGGGCGGTCGTTCTGCGTAGTACAAGGCAGAATATATATTGGAGGCGCCTAGCAAGACATTTGCAAACTCAACACATTACGCTGCCATTGCCTTAGCGAGTGGGCCGGGCTTGGCTGGCATTAGCTAACAGAATCCACGATGAGCATTGAGAGCATGGGACAAAGCTGCGAAGAATGCTCTGCAGATCGGTGCACGCAGCCATCAATGAGTTGTGCAATTGAGCTGGGACAAAGAGATGGCTGTGTTGTGTAAACGTGAGTATAGTGATGCAGTTCTTGCCTCAGGATCGGCAACTTCAAGCCCACGGCGCCGGGTGGTGATGCAAACCACAAGCTTTGAGTTATCGGTACACAGAAATCTCGTGACGCTCGTTCGGCGGAATAAGCAAACGACTGTGCTACAGGAGCGCAACCGGCGTGTGGTTGATGCAGCCCATTAACACGTGCAGGGATATTCGCGTAACGCGGTCGCGGTCGCGCCTTCCGCGTTCTCACGTCGGCCTAAAGTGGTACTTTCCGCGTCCGCTCCACAACGCTCGACGCGCCTACAGCAACACGTTAATCGAGGTTGCTGAGTGTGTTCACAACCCTCACATCCTTCACAATGGTTGGACCCGTAACGAAAACACCGGCAAAGCGAGCGCTCGCTGAAGCCTCAAGCAACCGCGTAAACGCATCGCCGCGCTCCGCAAAGAAGCTCAAGATCGAAAATGGCGCCACGACAGGAGGGCCGCCGGTCAAGAAGGTCAATAGATCGTTCAACTCGAGCCAGCTGGGGCCGAGCCAGTTCGAAACCACGCTGGAACAGATGACACAGGACATCGAGGCTTTGAAGACGAAGAACACGGAGAAGGACCAGCAATGGAAGCGACCGCCGCTGCCGGAAGGCTTCAGCGAGATGACCTCGAAGGTCGTTTTCCAGCAGATTGAAGCCGAAGAAAGCGTGCTGAACGGCGGAAAGCCGGCAGTCAAGTTGTTCGGTGTGACAGAGGTCAGTCGCGTCGTTGCGCTGCAGAGGCTATGAAGAGGCTATGTACTGACATAACCCTTATAGAACGGCCACTCAGTCCTCCTCCACGTCACCGGCTTCCTCCACTACTTCTACGTCGCCGCACCAATCAACTTCCACAAGGAAGACTGCAAGCCATACCAGACCTTCCTCGAGAGCGAGTGCCAGAAGCAGTTCAACCAGCACTCGGCCGTGATCGCATCCGTCCAGATGTGTATGCGCGAGAACATCCTCCGCTTCCAAGGCAACCAGAAGAGCCCATACCTCAAGATCACAGTCAACGACCCCAAGATGATCAACCGCGTGCGGACCATGGTACAAAAGGGCAATGCCAACTACAAGAGGCTCTGGCCTGCGCGCGAGGATGGCATCTTAACCTTCGACAACATCGCATACGTTCTGCGGTTCATGATCGACACAAAAATCGCGGGTATGTCGTGGGTGGAGGCGCCCGCCGGAAAGTACAAGCTGTTGCATCCGCGAGACCAGCACTCCAACTGCCAGATTGAGGCACAGATACATTACTCTGATCTGATTGCGTATCAGTCGGAAGGGGAATGGGCCAAATCCGCACCCCTCCGCATCCTTTCCTTCGATATCGAATGCGCTGGTCGCAAAGGTGTCTTCCCGGAGGCGAACGTTGACCCCGTCATTCAGATCGCCAACGTCGTCACAAGAAACGGTGAGGAGAAACCATTCGTGCGCAATGTGTTCTGCCTGGACACAGTCAATTCTATCGTGGCCACACAAATCTTCTCCTTCGCCGACGAAGGCGACATGCTGATGAAGTGGCGAGACTTTGTCGAGGAGGTCGATCCGGATGTCATCATCGGATACAACATTGCCAACTTCGATTTCCCATATCTGCTCGATCGCGCCAAGCACCTGAAGCTTGCCAAGTTCCCTTACTGGACACGACTGAAGACAGTGCAGTCGAAGGTCGAGTCCTCAAATTTCTCGAGCAAGCAGCTTGGTAGTCGCGATACAAAGACAACCAACACCAATGGCCGCATCCAGCTCGATCTGCTCCAGCTCATCCAGCGCGACCACCAGCTGCGAAGTTACACGCTGAACTCTGTGTGTGCGCATTTCCTGAAAGAACAGAAGGAGGACGTACATCACAGCATGATCACAGAACTCTTCAACGGTGACTCCAATTCTCGGCGACGACTAGCGGTGTACTGCTTGAAGGATGCGTATCTGCCGCAACGATTGCTGGACAAGCTGATGTGTCTGGTCAACTACACCGAGATGGCCAGAGTCACGGGTGTGCCATTCAACTACCTCCTGGCCAGAGGACAGCAAGTCAGGTTTATCAGTCAGCTTTTCCGGAAAGCCCTGGACCATCAGCTCATCTGCCCGGACCTACCAAATCAAGGTAGCAGCGAGGATCAGTACGAAGGTGCAACCGTCATCGAACCCAAGCGTGGATACTACAAGCAGCCCGTCGCCACACTTGATTTCGCTTCGCTGTATCCCAGTATCATGCAAGCTCATAATCTTTGTTATACGACATGGCTTGATAAAGCGACAGTGGAAAAGCTGAAGATGAAGAAAGACGAGGATTACATCGTCACGCCGAATGGTGACATGTTCTGCACAGTCAAGACACGCAAGGGCCTCCTCTCACAGATTCTCGAAGAACTACTCTCCGCCCGTAAAAAGGCCAAGAGAGAACTCGGTGTTGAGAAAGATCCGTTCAAGAAGGCCGTATTGAACGGTCGTCAGTTGGCTTTGAAGGTCAGCGCCAACTCAGTATATGGTCTCACCGGTGCCACGAACGGAAAGCTGCCCTGTCTGGCTATCGCCAGTAGTACCACCAGTTTCGGTCGTCAGATGATCGAGAAGACCAAAGCCGAGGTCGAGGCGAAGTACACCATTGCGAACGGCTACAGTCACGACGCAGAGGTCATCTACGGTGACACGGATTCCGTCATGGTCAAGTTTGGTACGTCGGAATTGGCGGAGGCCATGAAGTTGGGCGAGGAGGCCGCCGACTACGTGTCTTCAAAGTTCATCAAGCCCATCAAGCTCGAGTTCGAAAAGGTCTACTTCCCTTATCTGCTGATCAACAAGAAGCGTTATGCTGGACTCTACTGGACGAACCCCCACAAGTGGGACAAGATGGACACGAAAGGTATCGAAACTGTCCGTCGTGATAATTGTCGTCTTGTTCAGACCGTTATTGAAACGTCGCTGCGCATGCTGTTGATTGATCAAGATCCAGAGGGTGCTCAAGAGTAAGTTGTTTGTTATCTTCGGCAGGCACCATCGCTAACACGATGTAGATTCGTAAAAGACACCATCTCGGATCTGCTGCAGAACAAGGTCGACATGTCCAATCTTGTCATCACCAAGGCTCTTACCAAGCAGGAAGACAAGTCAGGCAACGGTGGCTATGCGAACAAGCAAGCCCACGTCGAGCTCGCCGAACGAATGAAGAAGCGCGACGCAGGTTCAGCTCCCGCGCTGGGTGACCGTGTCGCATATGTCATGGTCAAGGCTGCCAGCGGTTCGAAGAACTACGAGAAGTCGGAAGACCCCATCTGGGTCCTTGAAAACAACTTGCCCATCGACACTCGATACTACCTGGATAACCAGCTCGCGAAGCCACTGGGCAGAATCTTCGAACCCATCCTCGGTGAGAAGAAGGCCAACTCGCTGCTCCTGGGCGACCACACGCGCGCCATCTCTGTCGCAGCGCCGACGGTGGGTGGACTCATGAAGTTCGCAAAGAAGACACAGACATGCATGGGCTGCAAGAAACCGCTCACAGCTGCGCACGAGAAAGAAGGCGCTGTCTGTGAGAACTGTCGACCGCGTATCGGCGAGCTGTACCAGAAGCAGCTCACCAAGGTCAGTGAGCTTGAGGTGCGCTTCTCGAGGCTTTGGACACAGTGTCAAAGGTGCCAGGGCAGTATCCACTGCGAGGTAATCTGTGCGAGTAGAGATTGTCCGATTTTCTACATGCGCATGAAGGCCAGGAAGGATGTCGAGGATGCCGGGAAAGAGATGGTGAGGTTTGACAAGGATGCCGCGCTCTGGTAGTGTGGGACGTTTATGAGAGCGGAGCATTGGCGTTTTATTGCAGATACCATGACTGTGGATTGTCGATAGGATACGACGCGTGTAGTCTATATCGCTTGTAAAAGAAGCGTACATTCTCACTGCATCATCCGTCTGCATGTTGACAGGTGCTGGTCCGTTCGCGATCATGTCCAATTGCAACGATGACGACAGGCAACAGAACACAAACTAACGACGTCCACTTTCATGCTCGACGTCGGGCCCTATTTGCACCGCGCGCCGACGATGATGCAGATGACGCGGTTCTGGTGCCGAGCCTAGCACCAGATGCGCATTTTGGGATGACGTGCACGACTTGTGGATGGGATTCTTAAAAATGCATGTGTTGCAGCTCTCGACAGCTGCAATTCTCGGCACCTGCGATTTGCAAGACTTCAACGCACAATATCACACAAATCTAGACTCAACATGGGCAACACGCAATCCACAGTGCGCTACCTCGCGCCGGCGTCGTTCCTGTTCGACTTCGCAGCGCAGCAATACGGCATGTTTTCCAAACCCAACATGCTCGACATTCACAATAAGAATCTCGCGGCCTTCTCGCCGTACCCGTACGCGATCGCGGGCTTCTTCTTCCCGCAGCAGCTGTTCCAGCTCGCGTGGCTGTGGAAGCTGTGGAACCAGGACGGCTCGGCTGCGGATCGCAGCATGATGAACAGGTTTGCGTGGGTGTATAGTTTGGGGAATTTTTGTATCGGGAGTACGTCTTACCTCACGACGCCGCGGTCTCAGCAGCTCGCTTGACGCACGTGGAAATGTACATGTGGATGCTAACCCGCGCAGCGTGGATGTTCTTCTGGAACGCAAACGACCTCGAGACGGCCAATGTGTTCGTCATCATCAACACGGTCGCGCAGCTGGGCTACATCGCCACAGCGCTCGAGCCGCTCGACACCCGCTCCACGCCCAACTGGCTCACCCACATCGTCGCGAAGACGTTTGCGGGCATCGGCGTCCTCGACCTGCTGCACAACACGTCAGCTGCGTACTACCGCGGGGTGCCACCCTCGGGGCTGGTACAGATAGCGACGGGCGTCGCGTTCGCTGCGGCAGCTAGCGTCAGCGACTGGATCTTCGGTGCGTGTCTGGTGTACGATCTCGCTGCACTCGCGGTCGGGCAGGCGGGGACTAGCTGGGGCAGCCTGCTGGGCGGATATGCGGCGGCGACGGCGGGGATTGTTGGGTTCAGGAACTACGTCTAGTGTGTCCTCGTGTGTCTCTGTGACTCTGAGCAAGCTGACGGGTTGCAGTCCACGATGGAAGGCGCAGAGGCAGGGGTACTCGAGTGTTGGTGACGGGGACAACGGCGGGTCTTCTTGATTGCATCGCCGACAGTACTGCATCGTCGACAGTACTGCATCGTCGACAGTACTACATCGTGCTTGTGTGGTAGCAGCAATGATCGCCCCGGGACGGCATGTTTCTCGTGACAATCATCTCAGCGACACCCAGGTTGCGTCCCGTGTGGTGTGTGCATGTGACCATTGTGCCATGGAGCGCGCGTTTCCCTTACGTTTTGCACAGCCTTAGTGGTGTTTATTAGTTGTTGCATCGCTGCCGATGACGGAGGCGGGGTGCATTCCAAGATTACCCTGCATAGATGCGCGCGCCCCACGATGCACACCATCTCCCCGCGTATCTCGCCTGCAGCAAGCGGATCGTGCAGAGCATCGCGTTCCTGAAGAACTCCACGACTGCAAGGCGTGGCATTAATAGCTGAGGCTCCGTGGAGCGTCGCAAGTGAGACTCGGCCAAGCCGCGAGCGGCGGCGGCTGGTCACGTGCAGCGGTGCCGAGAAGGCGGCGCTGCTTATCTCGCTATCTGTCTCGCTATCTATCTCGATGTCACGCAGGGGGTGGGACTGTCCGCCGCCTGTACCGCGCAGGACGTCGCTCCAGCCCCGGATTCCACCCACTTGCTAATCAGCGCAGCCGCCGTTTGCCGCATGGCGCGCTTTGTTTCGTATCGGGACGTCCACACCACCGGGGGATCGTCTGGGCTGTGGGGGGGTGGTTGACTGGAGGATCGGTGACTCTGCTCCTGCTGATGTGCTGCTCTGCGAACGAGTGACGACTCTCTTCTTCCCTTGTACTTGTCTCTTTCCATCTCTCTGCACTTTACTGGCTCTGTTACTGCACGGTGTGCATCGCCTGCCTCTCACGAGTCTTATCTGCGTTGGAGCAGGCCGACGTCACCGCCGGTGTATTTTCACAAACGTCGAACGCCTCAAAGTCCAGTATCTGGGTCGTTGAGCAGTGACCTGTGTCGAAGAGATCTGTGTCAAGAGATCTGGCGTCGGTGTCTTGTGTCAAGAGATCTGGCGTCGGTGTCTTGTATCAAGAGATCTGGTGTCGATTCTTGCATCACAGAAATCTCAGGCCACGAATACGCCTCGTGGCTGTACTCAGGCGCCGCACCGGCACCTGACCAGATACCCAAGACCCAAGACATCACGCAGCAAGAGAAGGGAGGCTCGACTGGACCCTTGATTCCTCGCAGACAGGCGATCGAGCCAGACCCGCGGCACTATGCTGCCCTATCGCCCCCTTCACATCGACCAGCCCACGCTCCCGCGGCACTGCGAGCCCGCCAACGAGCTCCTCACCGCGCTCTCCGTAACCTTCCACACGTGCATCCCGTCGTACCTCGCGCTCGCATCGACGCTGCTCGGCGCCTGCAGCATCGTGTCGTGGCTGTTCGCGCAGCTGCCGCAGATCTACAAGAACCACAAGCTCAAGTCGACGTCGGGGCTCAGCGTGTACTTTCTGACCGAGTGGCTGCTGGGCGACGTGACGAACCTGCTGGGCTGTCTGTTCACGGGGCAGGCGACGTGGCAGATCGTCATCGCCAGCTACTACGTCTTCGTCGACTGCGGGCTCACGGGGCAGTGGATCTGGTACGAGCTGCTGCACCACGGCCGCCCGCTACGTCCCATCTGGGGCCGCTGGCGGAGCGGCGAGAACGCTGACACGGCGACCGGCGGCGGCGGCGGCGGCGGCGGCGGTGGTGGTGGTGGTGGTGGTGGTGGTGGTGGTGGTGGTGCAGGAGGAATGCAGCAAGTCTCGACAGGCAAGACGCCCGACACCGACGCCGCGTCCGACGCAAAGGATATGAACGTCCCGCACTCGGCGCCGCTCGACGCATTCCGCATCCCCAACTTTGCGCGCAGCCCCAGCGGCGTCAAGGAATCCTACGCCGTATCGCCCATGGGCGGGCCGCAGATACTCGACGCCCCCGGCACGCCATCGCCGCGCAACATCCGCCGCGTGGCAGCCTCGAGCTCGCCCCTGGCCTCGCCAAAAGCCCTGCTGTACCTCAGCGCCGTGTTTGCGCTGCTCTCGCACGGCACGCTCGCCGCACCCACGTCGGCCTCTGCATACACGTCGGCCTCTGCACATACGTCGGCCTCTGCATACGCGTCGGCCTCTGCATACACGTCGTCTTCGGACACTAGCATGTCCACGCGCGAGCTGCTCGGCAACATCTTCTCCTGGTCATCAACATTCCTGTACCTCGGCAGCCGACTCCCACAACTCTACAAGAACCAAGTGCGTCGCAGCACCGCAGGCCTAAGCCCCTCGCTGTTCGCCGCCGCTTTCTTCGGGAACCTGTTCTACTCGTCCTCGCTCCTCGCGAATCCCAGCGCATGGCACGATTTCCCCCCGCACAGCGGGTGGTCCGAGCAGGGCAGCGACAGGCGGGACTGGATTCTGCGCGCGCTGCCCTTTTTCCTCGGCGCCGCGGGCGTCCTGATCATGGACGCCGCGGTGGGCCTGCAGTTTTGCGTCTTCGGCGACGGCGCGCTGCAAGACGCGCGCGGGCGGCCCGCGCGCCGCGACGACGAAGTCATTCTCACCGTCGACGACCACGGGGTGCCGAAGAGACGGCGTCTGCACTGGCGCCGTGTGAGCGGGTGGATGCGCGGGTGGGCTCCCGCCGTGAGTGTTGCGGGCACGCCGTCGGTCAGCAGGGCCAGCACGCCGTCGGTCAGCGGGGCCAGCACGCCTGCGCAGACGCCCACGCCGCGACAGCAGAGTCCGGCGGAGGGGGGGAGTCGGAGGATCTCGATCCCGGCGCGGGCGGGCGGGGCGCTGGACGAGGCGCGCGCGCTGCTGGGTACGGGGCGGCATGCGAGTCCACGGAGTTATGGCGCATTGGGGGGCAGTCCGCGATAGGCGGGAGTGTACGTTGTATTCATTTTGGCTTCGCATTGGCGTTATGGGTATGTAGACATGAGAATGACACGACCTTGCAGACACTCCCGTCCATGCACCATCTGATACCGTCGCCGGTCCACGCACCATCTGATACCGTCGCCCGACCATGCACCATCTGATACCGTCGCCGGACCATGCACCACCTAATACCGTCGCCCGACCACCCACCACCCAATACCGTCGCCGGACCACGCACCGCCTAGTACCGTCGCCCGACCTCGACCCCGAGATTCTCGTCCGGGTTCGCAAACCCCCTCGCGCGCGGCGTGGCGCTGCGCGTGACGTCCTGGGGCGCGGCGCCCGTGTACGCCCACCCGCCGTCCTGGACGAAGAAGTCGACCTCGTCGACAATGTCCCAGACGACGTCCTCGGCAATCTGCTCCGTGTAGCGCGCGGACATTGCGCGGAGGGGCCGGGTGGTGCCATCTGCCGCGGGCTCTGCGGTGCCGCTGCGCGCGTCGCGGCTCCATTCCGGCGGCGGGCACCAGAAATCCGGCCCCATGTTGACCTGGGCGACGGCGCCGTTGAAGACGCTCACAGCCGGCAGGTAGCCGACGAGGCCGTCGTCGAAGCCCGTGCGGGCGCCGGCCTTGACGGCCTCGGGACTGGGCGCGCTCGCGGGCGGCAGGAAGGCGAGCAGGTTCTCAAACGCAATGCCGGCCTCGACGCCGTTCTTGTACACCTTGACGTGCGAGTGCGGCAGCGAGCGCACGCCCACGTCGGCGTGGTTCGGGCTCGGGTGCACGCGCGGCGCGGGCCCGCGGTCGTGGTAGGCCTCGACCGCCTTGGTGAGCTGGTAGTCGAGCTGCTCAAAGTAAAAGTTGCCCTTGTACGGCACGGGGATGCGGTCGCGGATCATGTCGGCCGGGCGGTCGCCGGGGTCGCCGCGCCGCGCCGCGTCGAAGCCGTCGCCGACGTCGACGGCCGGGTTGTAGATGCCGTCGACGACCTTGCGGTGCAGCGCCAGGCTCGGCAGCGCAATCTCCAGCCCCACGACGTCGCCCTCGGCCAGCTGCTCGTCCGTCACGTACTCGACGGGCGCGGGCTTGCCGTGCGGCGGCCGCGCCTTCATGTGCTTGCTCTTGGCGCCGCGCGGCAGCGGGCGGAACAGCTTCGACGCCCGCGAGCGGTGCTGCGCCTCGAACCGCGCGTCCGTCACGGCGTAGCTGTAGCCGTCGAAGCCGACGGGCGCGTCGAGCGGCGCCTCGCGACGCGCCCAGCCCATGCGCACGTGCGGGCCGGGCCGGGTGTCGCCGGTGCCGGCGTCGACGGGGTCGCGCGGGCCGCCTCGGGGGATCCCGCGCAGGATGCGCACCTCGTAGTACAGGCGGCCCTCGCGCGCCGTCACGTTGGCGCGGCCCATGCGCCAGCCCCTCTCCTGCGAGACCACCGTGGCCGTGTCGTCAAAGTAGAACCACTTGTCCGAGTCCTCGTGGCTCATGCGCGCGCCGTACGGGCGCGAGTCGGTCTGGCGGTAGAACTGCTTGTGCCGGAACAGCGGGTCGGCGACGCAGTGCGTGTACTTGTAGCCCTTTTTGTTCCACGCGTAGTCGTGCGGCTTGCGCAGCTCCGTGACGCCGTCGGGCGCGAACAGCGGGTGCGGCTCGCGCGAGAGGAACACGCCGTCGCGGGGCGGGTTGTAGTCGGCCGCCCTGGGCTCGGGGATGGCGTACCGCATCGGCGAGTCGGCCGCGGGCCGCTGCTCCTTGCTCGCCCTGGCGTTTGGCGTGCCTGCGCGCCCGCTGCCCGACGCCTCGCGCTTCTTGAGCGTCTCGCGCTTCTCTCTGCGCTCGCGCTCGCGGGGCGGCATCCCCGCCCGTGCCCGCGGCGGCGCGTCGCTGCTGGCGGTGTGGTTGGTGCTGTGGTTGGCGCTGTGGTTGGCGTTGGCGCTGTGGTTGACGCTGTGGTTGTGGTTGTGGTTGTGGTTGTGGTTGTGGTTGGCACCGTGGTTGGCACTGTGGCTGGCGCTGGGATTGGGGTTGAGCGGCGACGACACGGCGGGCATGTGGTCCTCGTCCATCGGCCGCCGCAGCGGAGGCGCGACCGCGGGCGTGTTCGAGCGCGACGGCGGCTGGTCGGCCATTGCGGTGGCTGTTGTTGGCTGCCGGACGTGGGTGGCCGCGGTCGTCGGGCGCGTCTGCATAACGCGCGGCACGTGACCTGGTCGGCTTGCCAGGCGGGCTAGATTGGCGCCCCCACCAGAATTTATTGCCGTTGCGCGCGCTACTGGTTTTCCGGCTCTGCGAACGAGAAGGAACTTCACGCTCGCCCGGTTCTCAGGCGACACTACGCTGCAGCGCTCCCGCAAGCCACCGACAGTACCGCAAGCTGCCGACAGTACCGCAAGCCGTCGACAGCACCGCAAGCCGCCGACAGTACCGCAAGCCGCCGACAGCACCGCAAGCCGCCGACAGTACCACGCCCGCGAATCCCGCGCCCGCCGCCATGCCTCGCGCACCAAAGTCGCCCGGCGTGCAGAGCCAGCGACACAACCCGCTCGCCGACGAGTACCTCCCCTCGGACCCCTACAAGATCAAGGCCAAGCGCACAAAGCGCACCAAGGCCGACCCCGGGGCCGAGCAGGGCTATGTCGACTCGAAGAGCTCGCGCAGGATCCTGGAGATTGGACGAGAGCTCGCCGAAGAGGACGAGCGCGCGAGCCAACAAGACGCGCGCTCGAACCAAGAGCACGCGCCCCGGGCCGCAAACCCGGCCTTTGACTTTGAGAGCAGGCTAGGCGAGGAGCATCTCGACGAACACGTCTCCGGGCAGTTCGACGACGACGACGACGACGACGAGGCGTGGGGCGAGGACGACGAGGCCGACGAGGTCGAGATGGACGCCGAGGATCTTGCGGCGTGGAACAAGTTCATCCCCACCGACGACAACCCGATCCAGTGGCCCGGCCAGGAGACGGCGCCGTCCGGGCCCGGCACAGATCTGGCCGCGCTCATCCTCGAGAAGATTGCTGCGCACCAAAACGGCGGCGGCAACGGCGGCGGCAACGGCGGCGGCGGCGGCGACCAGGGGCCGCGCGAGGTGATGGGCGGCGGCGCGCCAGAAGACGCCGTGGAGCTGCCCGCAAAGGTGGTCGAGGGTGCGTGGTGCCACAAACGTCTGCTGAGCAGCCACTGACCGCAGCAGTCTACAGCAAGGTCGGCCTGATCCTGTCGCGCTACAAGGCCGGCAAGCTGCCCAAGCCCTTCAAGATCCTCCCCACGATCCCCGCCTGGGAGACGCTCCTCGGCATCACACGGCCCGAGAACTGGACGGCCAACTCCATGTACGCGGCGACGCGCATCTTCGTCTCGTCGAAGCCCCACAACGCACAGATGTTCCTCAACACGGTCCTGCTGCCGGCCGTGCAGTCCAACATTGCCGAGACGCAGAAGCTGAACATCCACCTGTACAATGCCCTCAAGAAGGCTCTCTACAAGCCCAGCGCCTTCTTCAAGGGCCTCGTCTTCCCCATGCTCACAGAGAGCCGCTGCACGCAGCGCGAAGCCACCATTGTCGCCTCGGTCGTCGCAAAGGTCTCCGTCCCCGTCCTGCACTCGGCCGCCGCCCTGCACAGGCTGTGCGAGATCGCCGCCGAGCAAATGTCGAGCGACCCGGACGCCGCCGGCCCCTGCAACATCTTCATCAAAACACTGCTGGAGAAAAAGTACGCCCTGCCCTTCAAGGTCATCGACGCCCTCGTCTTCCACTTTCTGCGCTTCCGTGCCGCCGGCGCAAGCTCGGCGGACGCCATGGACACCGAGTCCGTCGCCGGCGACCTCGGTGGCACCGGGAAGCTGCCCGTCATCTGGCACCAGTGCCTGCTCGCCTTTGCGCAGCGCTACCGGAACGACATCACAGAAGACCAGCGCGAGGCCCTGCTCGACCTGCTGCTGACA